AAAATCAAAGTGTTTACAGAGTTGGTTCCATTCCATGCCTCTCTCTTTCCTTCTGATGGCTGCCAGCAATTCTTGGCATTCCTGGCCTATAGAGGCATCACTCCAATCTCTGCCTCTGTCTTTATATGGCTCTCTCCCTTTGTATATTTTATATGCCACTCAAATCCAGACCACTGATACTGGATTTCCATGTGAGGTCTCTTGATTGCACACACAGATTCCAAGCTCTAAAATATATTTTTTGAGGCTGAGTGGCTCATGCCTGTAATTCCAGTGCTTTGGGAGGCCAAGACGGGAGGATTGCCTGAGTACAGTAGTTTGAGACTAGCCTGGGAAACATAGCAAGACCCCATCTCGGAATGGAATGGAATGGGATGGGATGGGATCGGAGGGGAGGGGAGGGGAGTCTGGCATGGTGGCACTGCATCTATAGTCCTAGCTACTCAGGAGGCTGAGGCAGGATGATCACTTGAGCCCAGGAGTTTGAGACTGCAGTAAGCTATCATCATGCCACCCACTCCAGCCTGGGTGACAGAGTAAGACCCTGACTCTAAAGACATTTTTAAAAAGAAAAAAAATGTATATTTTTACATATTTTTAAGCAATACATATATATGTTTTCATGTTAATGGAAATTAATCACTGGAAGATGGATTTTAAGGCAGGACATTAATTTTAAAACAATGTATGATTTTTTTCTTAATCCTTGTTTTTGGGAACCTGGTGTTAATTTATGGTTCAGTAATAACTGTTACCTCAAGCAATTTCTTAACCTTCCTAGGTCTCAGTTTCCTCATCTACGCAGCAAAGAGATTGGATGAGGTAAGCTCTGAGTCATTTTCAGTCCTGCAACTCTTAATACTGTGGAATTAATTTCTGGAAAGCAAGAGTTACCATCCGTGATAAAATAGGTCTCAATTTGTTTTATTTACTATTACTGATTTAAAGTCTGTTTTATCTGATATGAGTATAGCTGCTCTTGCTTGCTTTTGGTTTCTGTTTGCACAGAATGTTTTTTTCCAGTCCTTTACTTTGTAAATGTCTTTATCAGTGAGGTGAGTTTTTTGTATGCAGCATGTGGTTGGATCTTGTTTTTAAATCCATTCCACCAGCCCGTATCTTTTAGGAGGAGTATTTAGTCCATTTATGTTTAAGGCTGGTATTGCTATGTGAGGTTTGTTCTTGATATAATATTGTTACCTCAGTCTAGATTGTGCAATTGCTTTATAAGACCTGTGAGTTTTATACTTTCATGTATTTTTATGATGATGAATGTTGCCCTTTTGTTTCCATGTTTAGAATTCCTTTGAGCATTTATTGTAGGGGCAGTCTAGTGGTGAAAAATTCTCTTAGTGTTTGCTTGTCTAGGAAATATTTTATTTCTCCTTCATTTATGAAGCTTAGTTTAGCAGGATACAAAATTCTTGGCTGGCATTTTTTTCTTTAAGAAGACTGGAAATAGAACCCCAAACTTTTCTGGTTCATAAGGTTTCTGCTGAGAAGCCATTTTTAGTCTGATGGTATTTCCTTCATAAGGGATTAGACACTTCTCTCTTGAAGCTTTTAGAATTTTTTCCTTCATGTTGACTTTGGATAGTCTAATGACTATATGCCTTATTGAGATTCTTCTTGTAATGCATCTTCCAGGAATTCTCTGAACTTCTTGTATCTGGGTGTCTAGGCGTCTAACAAGACCAGGGAAGTTTTCCTGAATTACTCTTTCAAACAGGTTTTCCATATATTTTCTTCTTCTCTCTCTGAATCAACTAACTTGTAGATTTGGATATTTCACAGAAACCCAATTTTCTCAGAGGCTTTGTTCATTTCATTTTATTTATTTTTTTGGAGGGGGAGTGTTGACTCCTGTCACTCAGGCTGGAGTGCAGTGACGTGATCACAGCTCACAGCAGCTTCAACTTCGCAAACTCAGGTGATCCTTCCACCTCAGCCTCCCACGCAGCTGGGACTACAGGTGTTTGCTCACCATACCCAGCTAATAGTTTGTATTTTTAGTAGAGATGGGGTTTTTGCCATATTGCCCACGCTGGTCTTGAACTCCTGGGCTTGAGCAATCTGAAATTCTTTCTTCTGCTTGGCCTAGCCTATTGTTGATAGGCCTAGCCTATCTTTGACTGTATTTTGTGATTCCTTCAATGAAATGTTCATTTCCAGAAGTTCTGTCTGATTTTTAAAAATAATATTGCTCTTCTTTCATATCCTGAATTGTTTTTCTGATTTATGTTGTTTTTCAATTTTCTCAACGTGGCTTAATAAACTGATAAACTGAGAAGTTATAGCTCCTAAGACAGGCTATCATTTGCTAATCTGAATCAGAAAAACTGTTATTTTTTTAATCTTTTGGCAGGATATATAGAAACTGAGCTGTTACACACCCTTAACAGCCCTTAATCCCTCTTCTTGATTACTTGCCTTTCATGCATAAGACACTAGGAAATTGGCATCTAGTTGGCTCTCAAATATTTGTTAAATGAATAAGGAAACATACTGTTGTCACATGTTGTTGTTGGGGGCAAGTCAAGCAATATCATTCAGGTCTGACCAAGTAGTAATTGTGGGCTTTTTTTTTTTTTTTTTTTCATTCAGGTCTGACCAAGTAGTAATTGTGGGCTTTTTTTTTTTTTTTTTTTGAAATGGAGCCTCGCTCTGTCACCCAGGCTGGTGTGCAGTGGTGTGATCTCCACTCACTGCAACCTCCACCTCCTCGGTTCAAGCAATTCTCCTGCTTCAGCCTCCTGAGTAGATGGGATTACAGGCGCCTGTTACCATGCCCCGCTAATTTTTGTATTTTTAGTAGAGACGGGATTTCACCATGTTGGCCAGGCTGGTCTCAAATGCCTGACCTCAGGTGATCCACTTGCCTCAGCCTCGCAAAGTGCTGGGATTACAGGCGTGGGCCACTGCGCCTGGCAACTGTGTGCCTTTTAAGATTTCTTTTGAATACCTAGCTGAAACAATTATTTTTTTTAAATGGTGACAACTTTTTGCAGTTGCTTTCTGGAGCAGTTTCCTTATCTATGATGTGGACAGCTGTGGAGAGCTGGACTCCAGGGCCTGTTCTATAAACACCACAGTAGACTGTGTATTTTTCAAGTTGGGAGAGGTCTGTGATCTTGTCCCAGGTGGCACCTGGTTAGATGCTTTTCTTTTCCAGGAGTCCCTGCCTACTGCCAGTGGCCTCTTTGGGTGGCCATCAGGGCTGCATCCACTGGTACCGCTCTTCCTTTGGATTCTTTAGGGATAGAATTGGTGGTGGTATCTTTGTTGATTTTTCACTCTGTGGAAGAAACAGTCTGTTGACTGGTTTGGGGTTTACCTTTTCTTTTCTTTTTCTTTTTTCTTTCTTTTTTTTTCTTTTTTTTTTTTTTAGATGGAGTCTTGGTCTGTTGCCAGGCTGGAGTGGTGCAATGGTGCAATCACAGCTCACTGCAACCTCTGCCTCCCTGGTTCAAGCCATTCTCTTACCTCAGCCTCCTAGGTGGCTGAGACTACAGGCATGTGTCACCACCACCACACCTGGCTAATTTTTTTGTATTTTTAGTAGAGATGGGGTTTTACCATGCTGGCCAGGCTGGTCTCGATCTCCCCACCTCAAGTGATCTACCCACCTTGGCCTCCCAAAGTGTTGGGATTACAGACATGAGCCACTGTGCCCAACTGGGGTTTACCTTTTCAAAAGCTCAGTTAGAGAAGGCTAAGAGTGAGTCCGTTCACTGTTGGAATTTTTTTTTTTTTAAATATATTTGTGACAGGAAAAATTCTGGGCCAATTTTTGTCATCTTCCTTTAGTTATTTTTTTTTCTCCTGCCTCAGTCTCCCGAGCAGCTGGGATTACAGGCATTCGACACCATTCCCAGCTAAATTTTTTTTTTTTTTTTTAAAGGAGAGACAAGGTTTCACCATTTTGGCCAGGCTGTTCTCAAACTCCTGACCTCAAGTGATCCGCCCACCTCAGCCTCTGAAAGTGCTGGGATTAGAGGCACCACAGCTGGCATCTTCCTTTAGTTCTTAGTCTTATGTATTAATTATTATTTTTTTTTTTGAGATGGAGTCTTACTTTGTCGCCCAGGCTGAAGTACTAGTGCCATGATCTTGGCTTGCTGCAACCTCTGCCACCTGATTTCAAGCAGCTCTCCTTCCTCCGACTCCTGAGTAGCTGAGATTACAGGCATGTGCCACCACACCTGGATAATTTTTGTATTCAGGGTTTCACCATGTTGGCCAGGCTGGTCTTGAACTCTGGACCTCAGATGATCCACCTGCCATGGCCTCCCAAAGTGTTGGAATTACAGGTGTGAGCCACCATGGCCAGCAAGAAATCTTTATTTTTTAAAACAGATCTTCTTCATGAAAGGAAGGTCTTCTCTGGAATCAGTGGTGTTGGTACAAGGTAGGAGTTACAAACTCAGATGTCTACAGAGGCTTAGCAGATAACAGAAAGGCAACTTGTGGTGTTTATGCTCTTGAATTTGTTTTTGAAGTACTCATAGCACTCTGTTTATATTTACAGAAATTTCTTTAAGAAAATTAGAAATGTTAGATGTGATGATAAATAACACTAGGTGTTCACCGTCAACATTGGGAAGTAGCAGGGAGTGTTGAGGACTGCAGGGAAATAAAAGGGTCATTCTACCTCTCCTTGGGGCCCAGAGTTGCCACAGTTTTTGTTTTCTAACATAAGTTCAATTTCTTTTTCTTTTCTTTTCTTTTGTTTTTTGAAACATAGTCTTGCTCTGTTGTCCAGGCTGGAGTGCAGTGATACAATCTCAGCTCACTGCAACCTCCGCCTCCTGGTTTCAAACGAAACCTCCTGGCTCAGCCTCCTGAGTAGCTGGAATTATAGGTGCCCACCACCACGCCTGGCTATCTTTTTTGTATTTTTAGTAGAGACGGGGTTTCACCATGTTGGCCAGGCTGGTCTCAAACTCCTGACCTCAGGTAATCTGCCTGTCCTGGCCTCCCAAAGTGCTGGGATTATAGGCATGAGCCACTGTGCCCGGCCTAAGCTGAATTTCTATATGAAATTTTTCTATTTTTAAACTTTGACTGATTTTTTACAATCTGAGTAGCTCAAATAAAACTAGTTTGGGGGACAAATTGGTTTTCAGGTCATGAATTTGAAGTCTCTGATGCATATTGGGATAGGTTGGCATATGGGATGGGCCTGTGGATCATCTCTCAAAGGACTGGTGTGGTGTGGGAGTCCTAGGGAAACCTGTGTGTGGAGGGGGCTGTTTATGTTCATCTTTGCATATGGATATGGAGGAGTCCAAGATATGTATGTAAAGTAAAAAACAAGTTATAGAATGATATGTACAATTTTATTCTATTTATGTAATTTTTTCTAAAACGAGATATATATATATATAAAATTTTGAGTTCATAAAAATGTCATAAGTGCAAAACCCGAAAAGGATATACAAGAAACGGATCAAGGTAGTTGCCCCTGGGATTGACACTGAATTGGAGGCAGGAAAAGGAACCGCTTTTTAGTTTATACCCTTCGGTAGCATGCAGTACTTAAATAATTTTTGAAAAGTAAAATTAAAAGAGCTGTTGGAAAGTATAATTCCTATATGTTACAATTGAGGAGACTCGCTATATATGAATACTGAAGCCTTCAGTGCTAAGAATGTTGAGGAAGGAAGGAAATTAGAGTGGTCTGGCATGATTAGGAAGGGCTACTTGGAAGAGAAGGGGCCTTGAAGATTGGGCAGAAATCCTTAGGGAAAAGGACAGATGGAGCCAAAGCCCAGAGGTAGAAAAGAAAGGGTGGCTTGGGGACTGGTGGGCAGTTAAAGTTGACAGAAGCCAAGAGTATCGGGAAGCAGTGAGAGATAAAGAGGCTTTAACACTGAGGAGCCATGAAGGGTATTTGGGCAGGAGATAATGGAACAAGAGCAGTGCTCCAGCATGCTTAAACCGGCAACAAGGATGAGGGAATTTGGAGATGAAGCCACAGGGCGGCAGCCTCTCATGTGGCCCCTGCTGGTTCCCAAGATAGCTGTCACTAATTCCTGCTAGGGTATTTCCTGGTGAACAAGGATTATTTCTATATAACTGATGAATAAACTCCTGGCATTTCCTGTTCTTCCACTCTCAAGAGTGTGACTCTTGGAAGCTTGCCAACCTCTGCTGGTGCCCGATGTGGTTTCTCTACATCTAAAGCCAGTGTGTCTCCCAAGACATTTTGGAGGTTCTATAGAGCAACTAGACATTGACTGACATGTAGCCACTAGAAACAAGCCCACACTTTGCAGTTAGACAGATCTGGACTTGAATTTTGACCTTGCCACTTGCTTGTTATGTGATCTTAGAATGGCTCTTGACTCCTTTGGGCCTCAGTTTCCTCATTTGTGAAATGAAGATAATATGATTTACCTTCTAGGGTATTATGCCTTTTAGGTTGATACATAGCAAATAGGTCTGCTTTGCTTTTCTATGACAACACCTGCTCTGAGCTCTCTGTGTGTATATATATTTATATGTACTTATGACCATATCAGTCTATTCTATTGGATTATAAGCTACTATTCTGTGGAGGTGATGATGATCTAATCATTATTTTTCTCCAAAGCACTCAGAGGGCTAAGCAAATAGTTGGGCTTTAATAAGTGTTGAATGCGTGGGATTTGTGCTCTGAAACCTAATCCAGTCTTTATAGTGATTGAGTTGTGATTGATTAGGCTGTGTCTGTAGGCTAGGGTATACCTCTTCTGTGACCAAAATAGTTCTGTCCAAGCAAATGCCCTTGTTATGATAATATTTCAGGATGGCTTGTGAGTCGTTCATTCATTCTGCTATGGCAGATTGATATTTTGTAGGGCTTGGTGTTTAATATGGTAATTTGGGGAGCCTTCTTTAAAAATAAATAAAATTGCAGAAAGCATGTAAACACATTGGTAGGGCTCTTCCTGGGGCCTGGAGGAGGCTTGTGAAAGTGAGGGGCCCTGAAGCTTGAGCTTCTTCGGTTTCACAGTAAATCATCTCCACATTTAAAGATTTATAGAACATTCACTACAGGTAGTATTAAGAGTTATGAAGGATATGGAGGTTTCTAAAAGGCAAAAGATGGATACGAGTTTTAGTAATATAGTCATCCTAAGTAGACTCAGGACAAAATCCCTTGTATTTTTTTTCATTCAACAAATACTTGTGGAATACCTACTATGTGCCAGGCACTATGCTAAGCCCCGGAACATAGCCGTGAAAACACTAGTCTCTGCCCCATGGAGCTCATATTCAAGTGTCACCTGCATTGTGACTTGTAGACCTACGTAGGTTGCAATGGAAAGAGCCACAGTGTTGATCTGTGACTTTGGTGCCTAGTGTCTCTTTTTAACCCCTCTTCCCTTCTCCTTTTCAGGCCTGTTCTGGGAATGAGTGCCACATGGTTAAATCGGTGCTGAGAGAACCTTAGGCATCCCAAGCAGTGATGAAAGAATCATTGTTACCAGGGGGAGTGGGTTTGCTGACTTGTAACCACTCAAACTCTTCCCTGCCCTGACTGGTATGAAATATTGATAAGGAGCCATTGTTTCTTCACCAAAGATAGTCTCTGATTTGGGGCTGAGTTCAGCTCGGTATGGTAGGGCAAACCTGAATGAGCAATTTGTTCTGACTCCAGAGCTGTAGGTAGGGGTGTTTCTTTATGTCCTGGTTCTAGAGGGGCAGGCAACCCCACGGTCTCAAAGAAGAGGAGAATTGGATTCTAGAGACATGAAGTGCTTGCCTGGTTGTTTACCTTTATCCACTGCTCCCCTTGGCCACAGTGGGGCAGTGACTCAGAGCTGGAACTATGTTCCTGCCTGGTTGCCAGATTTTGCTTGAGGGGTGGAGAGGAAGGAGAATGAATGAGCAGGAGCAAGTGGCTGCTGGATTTGTAACACCTTGGGAGGCAGCTGCTCAAGAACCGAAATTGAGAGAGAGCAGGTAGGCTGGGAGTTTCCCTCCCTGTCTGACCTAAACCTAAGATTTCAGAAGGCAGTGCAGCTGGGGAAGACACTATCTGAACATGGAGCCCAAAGGGAGGGTGAGTGTGTCCCCTGCCTTTTCCAGTAAGAACAAGAAAGCAGGTTAGTCCTGTACTGGTTTTATAGGGATTCAGTTTGCTGTGGTATATTCTGATTCATGAAAGTCAAGTCATGACTGAGAGAACGGGAGTTTTCGATGGTTGGGAGCACCAACAGTTAATTAAAAACAACTAGCATCCAATGTAATTGGGCATAAATAAGACCTAAGTATCATTAACTACACCTCCCTGATGTTATTTTGTTGGCAAGTGAGGTTGGGGAGGACAACTGTTCTGCCTGTCTCTTTGTGTTTGCAGTTGTGTATAGTGTTGTTACATTTTAGTCTGTAGCTCTGTGGATGACTGTAGTTTGAGATGAACCTCAGCATCTTAAAATGCTACAGCTGGAGGGAAGATCCTGGAAACATCTCCTGCTCCAGCTTTCTCATTTTACAATTGGGGAACCTGACTCATTTAAGTGTACTAAACGGAAGCATAAAACTGGGTGTTCTAAGATTGAAAATGTTTCCCAGGACATGTTTGAAAACTTCTATAGAATGCGGTTTTTCTCGGGCTGCAGTTTCTGAACTCTGTCGGGGATGGAAGTGTGGCTGGTGGAAGGCGCCTCTTGATCTTAAACCACTTTGCCTGCCAGGTGAGTTCTTTAAATAGAAATTTTAACAGGAGGCTGGGTGCTGTGCCTTAACTCAAAGGGAAGAAAAGAAAGTGTGTTCTTGAGCCTCTGTCCTAGAGCAGGCTGAACATGCTGGAGTATGGAATGTGGAAAAAGGCAAAACAACTCTATTGGAGTGCAGTTTTAGAGCTAGCATAAGATAAATATAGCAGGCACTGAAGGTTGAAGTGTCTACTGTGGGCTGGGACGTTATCAGTATTCTTAATAACAATACAGGGTCGGAATTAATCTTTCCTTTACAGATAAACTCAGAAAAGCCACTAACTTGCTCAAGGTCATGCAGTACCAATGTGTGGCAGAGCTGGGATTTGAATTCCAGTTTATGTGACTCTGATCTGCCTGGGCTTCAGGCAGGCCTGTGTGGCCTTTCTAGATGGAGAACCTACCTGCACCCCCACTTTTACAGATGAGGAAACTGAGGCCTAGGGAGGTTGAGTAGTTGCTTGGGCTGTAGAGCTAGCTGGTAGTGACAAAGCTGGTACTCAGCTCCTACCACATTGCTCCTCTGCCAACTTCCTTAAAAAAAAAAATTAGAAACGGGCTCTCTGAGTTTGATCTCCTCCTTCTATCAGGAGCTTGACTTTAATGTTCTCATGGTTACTGGGATCCCATGAAATCAAAATTAAAACTTTGTATTCACCAAGTAGCAACCCCAAGTCGTGGGGCTGCATGTGGGAACTCAGGGGACAGGCAGGCTTGCGGTGTGGGTGACTCAGTCAGAAGAGTACTTTGCAGAATGAATTGGCCATTGAGTGGATCTGGAGAACTTAATAGAACCTAATGAAATGTAAAGGTTTGCAAATCATGCCAGAAGACTGTTAAATCGAGAGCTTGGAAAAGACGGACTTCCCTCTTTGCAAATTGTGAGGGCTTTAAGTTTGCTCAGTTAATTTTGTGACTCCCTCATGCCCAGCTCTGCCTGTGCCAGGCTGTTTCCCTTTGGCACCTTTGGACACCGAGCACAGTTACTAACTGCCCCTCAGGTGGGGGGTCTAGAGTTGGATGGGGTTTCCATGTCGCTGCCCACGTTGGTATGGAGTGTGTGCCAGATGTGGATGGTACGGGAATGGGGGAGGCCTAGATTTGCCCTACTCTATGCTCTCCAGGGCTGGTGAAGTCTTTTTCAGGACCTGTGGCCTTCTGCCTCCCCCTATCTTTGAGGGCTCTGTGATGCATTTTGCTGCTGAAATAAGAAATCACATTGGTTCTGCACATATCACCCTTCACATATCACCCTGAAGGTGATATGTCTGTGCTCAGGCTGTTTTGAAGTAAAGGAGTTCAAGTGCCTACTCTATGAATATTCTTGTTTCTTTGCTGTAGGAGATACGTGAGGAGTAAGGAATGACTCCTCCCAACCCTTGGATCTCACTTGAAGGGAGGGGACAGGGAGGAGAACAAACACACATAAAATAAATAGAGAGCAATACTAGTGAGGATAGAATCAGTCACCAAATTGTAGCTTTCATGCCAAAGCACTCTCCCAGTTCATACAAGGGAGATACAGATGATGTTTGTATTATCTTCCTGTGTGTTTTTAATCACTCAGTAATTTCCTATCAGGTATTTGCATTCCGTTCTTTGATTCTCTCAGTGGAGTGTATTAACCCTCCTTTACAGGGGAGTTGAGGAAGTTGTAGGGGAGGGCTAATTTCTCCAAATTATATTGTAACACAGTTCAGGAGAGCCAAGGATGAAGTGTTCTTGGCATGTTGGTGTCTCACCCTTGCACTGGCAGTAAGAATAGAAGCCAACTGCCTTCTCAGGGTGACCGTTAGGTTCTTGTCTCTGTTACTTGAGTCCAGATTTCTGTAGGGCTAGCTAGTTCATTTAGAGGCAAAATTAGCTGGGTGTGGTGGTGCACACCTGTAATCCCAGCTGTTTGGGAGGTGGAGGCGGGAGAATCACCTTGAACCTGGTAGGCAGAAGTTGCAGTGAGCTGAGATTGCACCACTGCACTCCAGCCTGGGTGAAAGAGTGAGACTCTGTCTTAAATATCCGGAGGAAAGAGCACCCAGGCTGCAAGGTCAGCTAGTACTAAGACTGTTAAGTAGGAAAGAGCCTGGTGTTCAAGGAACAAAAAGGCCAGTGTGGCTGGGCCAGCATGGACAAGGGGAATAATGGTACTAGATGAAGATGGAACCAGACAGGAGTCAAGGCATCTTAGCGTTTTGTAAGCTAAGGTAAGGAGCTTATTTTTTACTCTGTGTGTAAAGTAGAGCTATCATAGAGTTTAATGGAGGAGTGTGACTTGGTCTAGCTTATATTTTAAAAGATCCATGAGGCGTCCAGTGAGGAGAATGGGTGCTACAGAGACCAAGGTAGAAGCAGAAAGAGCCGGTAGGAGGCTGTTGCAGTATTTAGTTAAGAGATGAGTAGGGTGCTAGCTGTACAGATGGAGTGGAGTGTGGATTAATTCAAAGTATATTTTGTAGATAGAGGCAATAGGACTTGGTTCTGCGTGCTTCACATATTGTACATGAAGGTTAAGGTAAAGAAAGGAATAAAGGATGACTCTAAGGTCGTAGTGATGTTCATGGAAATAGGGAAGGCTGGAGGAGTATTGAGTTTGGGGGGAAGGGAGGCTTATTCTATTCTTGCCCTGTTAAAATGTCGGTGCCTATTAGACATTGCTATAGTCAAGGTACAGTTGGATTCAACAAACATTAATTGAGGACCTTCTGTATGCCAGACATTTCACAAGGCTCTTTCATGTATGTTCCTTCATTTTATCATCATAACAAACTTTCGGAGGGACATTTTTATCCCCTATTTGCAAATGGAAGAATTGATCCTCAGAGAGGTGAGGTGGCTTATCTGGTTTGAACCCAGATCTTCTGACCCTAGGGCTCTGGGCTGACTTGTTGCTTAGGGCAGATGTTGAAGGAGGCTGATTAGTGTTATGTTGATAGCTTCTACTTAAAGAGAGGATGGGGACCTTACATTGGCTCATCAAGGCCTGATTCTGGAAGAAGGGCCTGTCACAGGAATGCCCGTGTGCAGTGAGCTGTTGTAAATCTTGATATTGTCAAAATAGTGCAAGCTTGAAAGACCATTTCAGTAGATTTTCAATCCCCTTAGAAACACCACATTAATGATGATGCTTTGCATTAAATGAGCAGTTTTGTGAAAGTGTTAAGTAAAATTAGCCACAAGGAGCTTAAAAAACAATTGAGGAAACGTGAAGATGCTGTTTCAAATCTTGATTGCTACCTCTTTTTTGTGGGGCCCATATCCGAGCTGAAGATGAAGAAGAGGCAATTTCTTGTATTCTCAGAGTTTCAATTTCCAGTTTTGAGACCTAACTAGGAGCATTATTAGGTTATCCAGAATCCTTGGTTTTCTCCAGACGCTGGTATTTAGAACAAAGATAGTAAGTGGCTTTACAAGCCTGGGGGCAGTGCTGAATGTGGCTTCAGGCGTGCAGGGTAACCTTTTACAGTGTTCTGGGAGCCACATTGAGGAACCAGAAGGTCCAGAGGGGCAGATACTGCTGAGCATACCAATGAGAAGATCTTTAACAGAGTCCCTCCTCAGGCTCTTAGGCCAGATACTTTTCTTACGTTTTAAGCAGTTTCTTCTCTTTATAGCGTGGTCCAGATAAGAGCTAGTGCTGACAGAGCAGATTTGTCACACTCTCAGCATACCAATACCACTGCTGTCAGAAAACCAGATTTATCAGGGTGCTCCGACCCCCACTGTTCTGTTAAGCATCAGTCACATAATGCCAGAACTTCTTGCCATGCCAAAAAAATTGCTGTGCTAATTGGAACCTTGGTGTTTAACCAACAAGAGTCACTGCTTATATTACAATCAAAATCCATATGAATAGAAAATTAATCTTGGAAAAATGCTGCAAGAAACCGTAGGATCTATTTACATTTTGACTAGCCTCCTCTGTCATTTTAGGTTGACTCTGTCTTACGTTGAGCTTAAATCAGTTCTCCATGGTCCACGCTTGATTCTCTTATCAAGTCTTTTGTATTTGCTGTCAGACTTCTTTAGGACCTAACCCAAGTCCTTCCTGGCCCAGGGCTTGTGAAGACGTGCTTATTTACATGGATGGTTACCCATAGCCTGCTTTCATGGGAATCATCCTTCCCTGCCATCTTCTATCCATGTTCCCTGGTCCTTTCCTAAGTGAGACTGGCTGCCATTCAACTTCAAGGGGCTGCTTCTGGGAGTAAGAGCGGGATTTGAAAATGGAGGCTAGCTTGTGTTTACCTC